TCCTCACATGCCTCCTAAAACCAGATGTAACATCCCAACCTGCTTTTCTGCAGGTGGTGTCCAGGTGGTCGGTCCGTCTCAGCCGGTCAAGGCAACGGTTGGTGAAGACGTTCTCTTGTCTTGTCGGCTGAAACCTGCAGCCGATGCTTCAGACATGTCCGTGGAGTGGTCCAGAGACGACCTGGACCCTCGATTTGTCTTTGTGTGGTGGGACAGAGTGGAACTGAAAAGTTCAAAACATCCATCTTATAAAGGAAGAACATCATTGTTAGTTAACAAACTGGAGCTCGGAGAGGTTTCACTGAAACTCTCCAAAGTGAAACTGTCTGATGAAGGAAAGTACAGATGCTTCATTCCTAGACTGGGTCGAGGATCTACTGTTGAACTGGTTGTTGGTGAGTTAATACTGAGATAATTGTGGTTTGTCAGGTGTTTTTTAAACATACTTGTGTGTATGTATGAGAATGAAGACTGTAGGAATGAGTCACTGCAGCAGTTTGAGGAGTTAAAGCATCTCAGGGTTTGTTCATGAGTGAAGGTCAGACAGAGTGTGAGATTTCAGCTGTTGGACTTCTTTCTGCACCAGTTGGAATCAGTGAGGTAGATCTGACTGATACTAGCTGGATATGAATCCACGTCACCATCTCTGTGGAGGTTGTTTTCATTGACAAGGTCCAACAGAACCAGCACCACTGCAGCTCCTCCCCTGGAAACAGAACAAGGCGTCATAGCAGCAGCGTCTGACAATCTACAACAACATCTTAGCATCACAAGGTTCATTATCTACAGAATCAAATATAAAAAGTGGTTTAATTCACTTTCTATTCACTCAGGTCAGTCACCACAAGTACTTGTTTAGGGTTTGGAAAAAAATTATGGTTTTTGGTTAAAATAAAACCTTTTTCCTAAACGTGTCTCCTCAAGTTCTGCCCAATCTAATATACGATTGGTTGACTGAACAGAAGCAAACATGAAGCAGTAAAATACATGACAAAGATATGTTGATTACAAATGTGTTTGTGATACGTCTCCAGCAGAAAATATGTTTTCCTCTAAACCTAATTGAAAAGACAGATTAGTTGTACAAGAACGTCATTTCAAGGAGGCCTGGTTGCTTCAGGTGGACTTGGTGGTTCCTTCAAAGCCTTTCCTACATCAGGGTTCCCTTTAGGTTTCTTTTAAAACCTCATTGAGAACGTAGTTTATCTTCAGAGGAACTTGATGTTTTCAGAGACAGAGTT